AGCCTCAGGACTTAGCCTGAGGTAAATTCATATGCACATAGTGCATATGTATGCATATATATATGCATACACTATGTGCATATGAAGTTACCTCAGGCTAAGTACTTCAGAGCATAGTTCATTAAGTAGCATTTCAGTAGGAGATCACGTTTGCTGAGTAGAATATCTGAATAACCACATCCAGCCACGAAACAAATTGTGCAATAGCCTCTGTAAAAAGGAATAGCAATCTGAAACCAAGGTGTATGTTCGCTCAGCAGGAAACCTTGTCCGGCATCCACAGCTTGCAGTTATGCTGCTCATGGAAAACATGCATTCTAAGAGTGAATCAATGGGTGTCTCTGAACTTGCAAGGAGGAGGACGACAGCCACATTATCTCAGCCATGAACTAATGACCATTGCCTATGAAGCCAGTTTTCCCAAGTGGTTCTTTATAACTAACAGGAAGTTATTAATGAAGAATATATCTAATTAAATATTGATTGCTACATTTGCAGAACTGGGTATTCACTATAAAAACGTTGTCCCTGCAGTTACACAGGGCTTGCACCCAAGAATCTGGAAGATTCAACAGTCAAGCAAATCTCATAATGCCCTGTTGAGGGAGGCCAGTTTCAGCATCCCCATTTTACAGACAGGGAAACTGAGGCACAAAGAGGATAAGTGATGCGCCCAATATTGTACAAGAAGCTGTAGCACCACGAACGCCTCTCTCCTGCTCTGCCAGCCGGAGGTGAATCGTGTAAATAGTTGTCGGAAGCCTCCTTGTGCAGGAATGAGCTTCCACCTGTGAGGTGCTCTCCTTTATGCAATCCTGCCTATGGGCAAAAGGGTGCTCCCGAGTGTACAGTCAGGCACAGCTGGCTAAATGGTCAGTACTATCAGAGCAATAGTCTGCTGTCTGGTGAAAAAAATTGTGCAATCCTAAACAATCCTGGTCACCGCTGTGTGCAAGGGGTCAAAGAAGAATCATTTAACACTGATTTATAATGTAACACAATTAAGACCTTTTTATTTAAGTAGGCATCTGACAATTAACAGCCTCCAGTGTCCCCGTGGATGGGCTGGTTCTTATTATATAAGTTCATTTAATACTACTATTTTAATTTATTTTAAAGGGTTTTAATTGTAATGTTACTTTAACCACATACTGAATTTACATCTATTTTAATGTTTGTAATTTTGGTGTAATTTCATCTGGTACCGTTTTAAAGTGTCCTGTAGCCTGCCTTGGGAGAAACTTGACATATAAATGACATAAAAATGAATAAGATGGACAGACAGACAGACTGACCGACTGACTGACTGACTGACTGACTGATTGATTGATTGATTGATTGATTGATTGATTGATTGATTGAAAAAGTGTGCAGTGGGCATGAGAGTCTTCACTGGAGTGAAGCAGTAGCTGTAAAAAAAGGGTTCAGTCATAGGTCTGCTCTAACCTCCTACAGCAACTGAAAGGTTCACTACCTCTTGTATTTTCCATTCTCCATGAGGATCTCTGTACTTAACATATACGTATTCCCTTACATGAAATTCACCAACATAGATTTTCTCCCTGAAGCAAAGCACAGAATTCCCTGTTTATCACAACAGGGAGCCCCATCCTTGTGCATTAACAGGGAAGAGGATTTGTGGCTTTTAAAGAATAATCCCTCAATTTTGTTTTTATTTTCTCAAAAGACTGAGTTCTCACACAAAAATGCTCTCTGATGCAAGCATTCACAACATGAGGCACAACAGGACAATTATTTTTAGAATCTAGAATCAACACATGCAGTGTTATATTCTATGAAGCATTTATAAAGGGACACAAAACTTTTGGCCCTCCAGTTGGATTCCAGCTGGCATCAACTCTAGCTAGCATAGCTAATAGTTAGAGATGATGAAAAGTGAAGTACAAAACATCTGGAGAACACAGGTTCCCCATCACTGTATTAATAACTGCTGGTTCTCTCTCTCTCTCTCTCTCTCTCTCTCTCTCTCTCTCTCTCTCTCTGTGTGTGTGTGTGTGTGTGTGTGTGTGTGTAAAATGCTAGCAATTCTATATCCCAGAATGATACCGTTAATAACTTATGTGTTGTAGAATGGGCAATGAAACAGAAATATTAAGAAGGTATAGAACAATATTTCAGGTTGTTCAGTTACTCTTGACTACAAAGTATTCTTTGCAGTACAGTATCAGTATAGAATGTCATCTACTGTATGTAGGCAAAGTAGATAGAACTCTCTACTGTTACCACCAAGGTGCATGCTTCAGAAACCACAACTCTGCAAGCTTGACCAAAACACTAGGAAAATTGGGAAACTTACGGATACATGGACCTATCCCTTCATGTCCATGACCTAGAACCTAAGACCTGTTCTCATTCATTCACTCTGGAATATCCCATGTTCTGTACTCTAGAACTGCTTCCATGCGTACACCACTCTTTGGTTGAGAGATGGTGAAGAAGCATGTTACAACATCTAAATATTTCTGTTGCATTGTTCACTGTATCAAACACACAGAGACACAAACACACAGTGGTATAACAGTGGGGAAAAGATAGGACTATCACGTAATCGTTTTAGTTTGTGGTGCAAAGCTTTCTGATTTATTATTATTGTTATTGTTGTTGTTGTTATTATCATCATCATCATCATCATCATCATCATCATCATTATTATTATTATTATTATCATTGTTGTTGTGTTGTTGTTGGGTTTTTGCTTTCCCAGTAAATTGGGTGGTCTAGAAGCTTTATAAATAAATAAATAAACTGCTGGTGGGCATTTGCACTTTGATACCATTTCAGCCTATTGTCTACCTTTTCCCCTCTGAACATGTGTGTATGTATGCACATATGTAGAAATAAGAGTTCATTTATAAAGACTAGAGATGTGGTATTCATATTCATATACAAATACCAATACCCCCACACAGGTGGAGATAATGAGGGTCTGGCCCCATGGGGCCGGATGGTCCATTCACCGATGCACTAATGCCGCAGGGTCCACGCTGCCGTTCTATTGCTCCAGAGATCGCGATCACTGAGCCACTCCCGGCAGGAGGTGGGATGACAAGCCTCTCTGCCAGGTCAAAGAGTGGCTTGGCGATTGCAATTGCCGTATTGCAATCGTATTGCAATAGCGCACCGGTGAGTGGACCGTCCGGCCCCATGTGGCTGGGCCTTTGTTATCTCCACCTGTGTGGGGCTATTCATATACAAATACGAATACCCCATCTTTAATAAAGACCATTCAATTCCATCACAAGTTTCTTGTTAGTCATACGTAGCGTAGACCTGTCAAATTGATTTGACTTATATTTGCTAAATTAATAAGTCCCCTTCCCTCACATAGTCTATTATAATTGGGGCTGAAACTATATTTAGCCAGTAGTTATTAAGACACCACCTTAATTGTCAGAAAATTCAGAATAAGCTTCAGATTTATTTTTCCATTATTCATAAATTCTGATGCAAATAAAGAAAAATCTCCACTTCAAAATGTGGATTTTTTTTAAAGCAACATTCTATGTACTGTACTTTGCTCTAAAGTTCCAGTCAGAAGTCATAATCCGTAACAGTTACAAGCCCTACCTTTGAAAATGACAAAAGCATTTGGCTTACTAAATTCTTAGAAGATTTCTGGCCCATATTTTAATTTGGCCCTGTTTTTATTTGCCTCCGTGCAGAGATGATATGACTACAAACATACGTAGGTACCTTAACTTTCTCCATGTAACACACAGCCATTTGCAGAGGCCGAAGAAAAAAGTTGCTTCTGGGAAGACCTGACTGGTACCCAGCTCTCACGTGCTAGGCCAGACTCCCAGGATGAGTCTTTCATTTAATATTGGTGAAGGAGGAGATTCTTTTGGGACGAAATTGTTGTGTGCAACAGTTAAGCTTGAGTTTCTCAACTAAATACATCATCTGAACTGTTCAAGATGGCTGAGAGGGGGCTGAGTTGTTGCAAAGCCAGGTAAAGCTGTACTGAATCCAAGCCCCACTCAGCCTAGGGTTACTGGAAATTGCTTCAGACTACCGCCCCCCCCAGCTTACTCTAACAATTTGTTGACATAGTACTGAGAGTCTCAGCTAAAAAGGATTTGGATCTGGCATAAGTTAGCCCCTTGCCCCTTTTTGCCATCCTAGAGCTGATTTTGCCATCTTAGCCGCCCAGAGTGGTCGACCAGACCAGATGGGCGGGATATAAATCCAATAAATAAATAAATAAATTTCAGCTAGGAGAGCAGTAGTGCATCAAGCCCAGTTGTGTCAGCAGATATGAGTTCAGCCGACACAAGTGTTTTCTGTCGGTTCCATATCCACTACAGCCAATGTATCTTTGAGTTTGGATTGCCCTGTGTGTTGAGTAGTTTTACTTTCCAGGACCTGATTAGAAAAACATGGCTCGTTTTTGCTAGACTGTACTCTGTTTGTGTTGACAGACAAGTTGATCAACTTTTTAAAAGAATAAAACAATAGTCTGCCCTTCTTTCCAGTACCCGGATCCATCCTAGCCAGGCAGATTAGCTTTCATGATATGTCAGTTGTGACCACATGCTTCCTGCAAAAAGAACCCACTACAGATCTTAGCTGTACCTTACTATAAAGACATGGTTCCCCGTCACCCACCATCTCATAAAACGTTACAACTTTCTTGTGTTTCAACATTCTATTGTCCCAAGGAAGTTGACACAGCAGACGGCAGCCTCTCTCACTAACATGGAATTGGCCATCCCAGGGCCTGTGGCCCCATATAGCAGCTGATATCTTAAATCAACTGGTGCGTGTTTTCAAGCATGAAAGATGAGATTCGCATCAATTAAGAAAGAGATGGGAAGCAGAAGACAACTGGCGCACACAAATTTTCTCCAGTAGCATCCACTGTAGCACCTCTGAGAATGTTGTGTTCCAAACTTCCAATGAGAGAAATGGTTTTCTGTCTTAGGCTCCAAGTGGCATCCAAGCACAAATGTACAATACTTCCTGGGTTAGCTACAGCCTCAGCAAAAGACTGACCAGTATATTAAGTTAAAAACGATATAAGTGCCAGGAAATATTAATCTTGAATATTTGTCAATGGCATGAGTGTTCTGCATGATCCGAAGGCTTACATGCCCCCTCAGTCCTTTCTTTCTTGATGAATGTGACTCATTATTTAGGGCCAAATGGACCACCATTTTGTCTTGCTTTTCCTCCTCGGTTGCCATCTGGCCTCTTGGATAGTCTTCTAAACTGTTGGAATCAGACTCACTGAATATGCCTTGCAGCAGCATTGTTTTGGTAGAAGGTAATCCACATGTACATGAAAACTGAGAAAAGGAAAAAGAGACACACACTGTGACTTAATGTAGAACGTGCTGTGTCTTCAAATCATGTTCTTGGAGTATTTTTGGGCTGAGTGTTGTGTGTAGTGGATCCCTCAGGTGGAAAGAAGTGAATTTTTACTCCTTTGTGCCACCCACTAAGTCCTAAACAAATTTTGCTGTAGAGGGTTGGGAATTGCTGCAGAACAGTGTGTAAGGTCTCACAGGAGAGGTGCCTGGGGGTAGGGGTTGTGACTGGCAAAAATCACTTGCCCGCTTCTGCTCAACTCTTAACAGAATCCAGTTGCTTCCAGAGATTGAGTCACCCAGTTACTTGTAATTATCCATAATTACTACATAGCAAAGCAATCTGGAAATTTAAGGGCATGGCCTATCATACCCCATCTATCAACTTGTTTACAAAAATTTCCCCAGTTAAGCGTAAAGGCCAATTCAGGGTAAAGAAATATTGCTTACCTGAATTAATGCTGAATATTGCACTCAATTTGTACATTTTATTTGTGTTAGGTTTCCTTGGAGAAAAGGTTTGACACCAGTCTAGCAAATGCCACCTATAATAACCAAATAGGGTGGCTGTTTTGCTGCCAGAGTCATAGCTCCATGAAACGTGCGTGTCTCTTCTGTGCTGTCAAGCCAGAACCGACTTATAACAACCCTAACAGGATTTTCAAGGTAAGTGAGATATTAAAGGAGTGTTTTTACCAGTTCGAGTCCCTCAATGAGTTTCCATGGCTAAGCAGGGATTTGAAACTTGTTCTCCAGAGTCCTAGTCCAACACTCTGTCCACTAAACCATGGAACTTAGCCACCTGAAATTCTGTCTGTATACTAAGGAGGATATATTGTTGCATTGGGAATTATTTGGCATTGATTAATATTAATGTATCAAATATGTTTCTAGCCATCGCCACTATCTTCAATGATTAGGTGACAGGTTTCTCTAACCAGTACATAACCTTGTGCCCAGTATGATTTGAAGACAGGCAAGTAGTTTGAGAGACGGAATGATGGGGTTGCCCCTTCCCTAGGCTGCAGCGCAACTCCATCTCCTGGGCACGGAAGTGGACAGACCTTTCCCTGAGGGAGCTGTGGGTGGGCACCAGGGCATCAGCCATAGCTAGGGGTCCCAATAGCCGTACTTTCACTCAGGTGAAATGCGCACAATGTTTCCAACCCCACAGTGTGTCAGCTTTTGTAATTTTGCTTAATTTGAAAAGGTATTACAAATTAATGTTGAGAATCACATACTTTAAAAAAAAATTGTAGTGGTGGAAACAACATTATGAGTAGTACTAGGCTGTGCAAACATCAGTGCAAAATGTTTGAGTAACTGGTTAAATAACAAAACCTTTCCTCTCATGTCCCCCTCCCTTTTTAAATATAAGGTGTTTTTAAAAATTGTTGTGGATTTTTTAGGAACAATTAGAGGCTTCCCATTTTTGTAGCTACGGAAAGGGGGTGGCTTGCAAAAAAGGAAGAGAGAATTCAGGAGTCTCCCAACAAATTTCAGCAGCAAATTGCAACTGGGTTTCAAAATATCTGGGGAAGGCTTAGGGGGAGTGGAGGCCACCTATGGAGGGCATGAGGGTGAATGTAAACCATGGGCCTCACCTTGTCCACCTCTGCTATAGCAGGAGCCTGCATTTCCACTGGACTATTTAAATTGCCAGTTTCTGGGAAAACACTTGCATAGCCCTAGAAAAAACAAAACTTTCCTCTTTTCTATCGTGACCAGGGGTTATGTAAGACTCCGCAAAGGTCAGAATGCTGACATCCAAAGCAGAACTTTTCTGCCCAGATTTATATACTGTTTAATGGTATCACAAAAATACAATGTGATTTATTGTGATTATGTACAGCCTTCTATATGCAAATGCATTGCCTTTCTTTGTCCAAATGTTAAGAGATAGAAAAAAATTACTCATGACTTACCATGGAAAAACTACAGATCCATCTCTAGTCACAGAAGCAAAACAAATACAACACCTAGTCAGCCTCAGTTGGAGGTCCACATTGTCTTCATTACCATCAAACAATGCACGAAGCTGATCCACTGGCGCCCAAGTGAACATTGTGGTCCAGATCCAAATGTGTCTCTTTCTCGGCCACATGTGGATCTTGGGCGTGTTTTATTGTGCAAGGGATGTGCATCCTCCCCCTTTGCACACAACATTGGAAAATTGCATAAGCCACTCCTGCATCTGTTCTTGCTGCTTAATTAATTAGCTTATTAATTAAGTCAAATAATATGCTGCCCTTTACTGCCTCTCTCAGGGCTGGGTACATTTTAAAACAGATGCAATAAGACCATGAAAACAAAAGCAAAGCCACAGTCACAGAAGTCGCAGAGCTTCTGTGTAATAGAGTAAGCTATTTCATATTTCGCTTTTGTTTTATCTTTCACGACTAAATTGGCTAAAGCCAGTTTTAAATATGAATCTCACTGGCCAGAGGTTCATGATAACTCATGTGCCGGAGTTAAAGACAAAGTGGCAAGCATAGGGAAATGCCATTGTGAATTTCCCTCTTCTTACCCTCCCCATATTGCCTCTGCCAAAATCCCAGGTTGCAGACCTCCCCAGTTCTGATCTGAGTTGCCTTCTCTCTGCCGCTCCTACTATCATCAACTCCTGCTTTTGTGGCGTGAGGGCTTCGGTGTCAGCTCGAATGCTCTAGATAAAAACGGTTCATATGCACAGACACACAAGCATCAGAGTTTTTCAAGGTTACATTTGCAAATATATTCAAATCAGGTGTACCGAAAGCGCCTCTCACCTTGTCTCTCAGCTTCCTCTGCTTCCGCTCTTGCACGGTGGTCAGGTAGTTCACGGCGGCGTACTCAATGACCGAGAGGAAGACAAACACAAAGCTCACCCAAAGGTAAATGTCCACAGCCTTGATGTAGGAAACCCGAGGCATGGAAGCATTGACGCCTGTGATGATGGTAGACATGGTCAGCACCGTCGTGATGCCTGAAAAAAAGTCCCACAAAAGTGTCAAGACAAATCAACACCAGGGATGGATAACGATGCTGGAGACAGGTGGCTTAATGGAAATGCACTCGTGGCCTAAATTCTCTGAGGAAAGCAGCTTCTGGTGAAATGGAGAAGCCACATTTGTATGGATGAGCAGGGGTGAGGTGGCAGTTGCTGGTTTCAAGGAAGCCTCCCTTGTGAGCAGGAGGGCAGGTAACCCAGTCCTTTTGCAAAACCGGGCCAGGCTCCCTCTCACAACCATGTACGGACACCAACGACTGCTTTTGGAATGAAAAATGGCAATAGAAGAGTTATATATACCCTTGCAGTTCATTTTTCGGGTTTATGCCAGGGGAGAACTGCTTGGCGACCTGCCTGCCCCTCCCACTGCCCCTGTCACCTCCCTACCTTCTCTTGAAGCCTCCCCCACTACCGCCATGACCACCCTGACAGGCAGCAGGCCTAGCTTCAAGGACCTGGGCCTGCTGTTTCTGCGCATGAATTTTCCTGTCAGCTGAGTGGTGAGCACATGTGCGCACAGTGGCAGCAGCGGAGGAAGATGGCAGAGGAGGAAGCAGTGGCAGCAGCTTATAGGGAGCTAATGGGAGCAGTGGGAAGAGACTGGGTGGGCATCCCCTTTTGCCAAGCAAAACAAAGCACCAAGAGGTAAAAAGTTCAGTGTCTAATTCCATTTTAGCTAAACAGGATGCCTGAACCAAACCACGAATCAGCCCAGTGTGTGGGTTTTTCTGGTTCATGGTTCGGTTTGTGCCCATCCCTAATTAGCAGTAATTAGACAAGGAAACGATTGTATCTATTTTTAATATGTGTGCATGTTGAAGAGGGAGTAGAAGCCCTCCTGTCCTGTATACATGTAACAAATAATCACTCGCCTAATGAAACTCTGGCAGGCACGGCTCGCCGATCTATCCAGAAGGACACCCAGGACAACATGACCATCAGTGTAGCAGGAAAATAAGTTTGAAGTAAAAAGAAGAATATATGGCGACGTAAAGTAAAGTTAATGTAGAGGCGGTTGTACCAACCTGTTGGGGGAAAATGATTTTAATATGCAGACAATTCAGTATTATGAACAATAATTACATAAGGTATAATGATAGATAATATGAAGGTGAGATGTCAGCAAAGTATATGAATAGAAAAGTTTCCAGCAGAAAAAAATGCAAAAGAACAAAGGAGAAAAGAGAAAGGAGGAATATATTAATATAATGTATAATTGCACATGTAGCACTTTAATTAATGTATTCCCCTTTATCTTATTCTCCATTTACAAAGATGAAGAGAGGCTGATAGTGACTTGCCAAAGGTTACACCATGAGCTGTCCTATTTTGTTCCTAGGAATTATGTAGCTGTCATAGAAAAAAGCGACTGTATTCCTATTATGTTCATTAACGGAAGGCTTGCTTGGTGAGGCACTTAGAAATATACTCATTGTTCCTGTGTGCTTGAAGAAATTCTATTTTCATTTTAAAAGCCATTTCATTCATTGACCTAGAATTAATTCAGAGTTCAGTGCTGCTTTCCATCTTTATAATGAAGCCTGCGTTACATGGAATATTCATTTGATTTATAAATAGAACTTTGCTGCTTCAACAGGATTCATATGTAAGTAAGACGAGTGCAATTCAGAAGTTGTTACTTGGGGCAATCTATGCCATCACATCATCTTTGGCTCTCAATATTATGTCTGAAGACTGTGAAGAACTCTCTACACTCACAAAGAAAATTGTGTGAACAGATGATACAACACAACTGGGTTGGGGTGAGCTTTTTGTCCTATAGTTCACAGTCTCCTCCAGCCAGCATAAGCATCATTGGTAAATTATGGGAGGTGTACTCTTTTAATTGCAAAAATTAACACTCTATTCAGTTGTTGCCTAGAGATGACTGTCAGCAACATATTTAGAAGAGCAGCTACTACTTCCTATTTCTGTCACTGTTTTCTCCATGTGGAGAACAACATATCTGAAGAGTGAAACTCCTACTTGCCTATAGGCTCTACGCATGGTCAGGAACCCTATCTTCCCATGGTTCTTGCACCAGTGCAGAGGCTATAAGAAGGAGTTTTCTCTCTTCAGATATATCACCCTTCATGTGGATAAAACAATGATGGAGAGGGAAGGGGTTTCTCACTCATTTTTAAGCATGTTGATAACAATTAGGAAGATGAAGATTGAATAGGGTGTAACTTTTCTGAGCTCAGGAACAGCCAACCAGTTTGGTGATGAGGCTAGGTTAAGGAACCAAAAGTGAGGAAACCCACATTCAACTTCCCACTCAGCCATGAAGCTCTTTGGATGACCTTCAGCCACTTGGAACCTCTCTCTCCCCCTTCACAGAGTGGATGTTTGGATTTCTAGAGGAGAACAATGGTTGCTAGAGGAAAAGTGAAGTAAGCATGCAATAGAACAAATACAATATGATAAAGGGGTTAGTGATTGTTTTCTTGGCACCACACTAGGCAAATCTGGTTTATGGGGCTGAATGGTATATCAAAATGACCAAGATTCGAAAGAAAATTAGGAGGAAAAACTGATACCAGTGCTACTATAGAAAGCAAGTCTGGAAGTTGTATGAAATTTCTGGATCAAGAATTGAGACAAGGAAATCTTCTCATCTGTTTTCAGAGACTCATTCCCATTTTTCCAGTACAACATCAGATCTTCATCTGTGTATGCATCTGTAGGTTGGGGTAGGGTAGAAGAGTAAAATATATTATTTCATACATCAAAGTAAAACAACAAAACAGGCAGGTAAACCAATGGTCTAATGTAGGAGGGAGAGAAAAGAGTCTTTTATATGACATGAGAATGGACTAGACTTGATACTTACCTCAACTAAATTGAGGTGTATGTGTTTTAAACAAGAAAATAATGATTATGGGAAAGGAAAAATTCTTTGGCAACTTGGAAAACTGAAATTAATTTATTTAACAGTCCTTTGCCAATTTACTCTGAATTTGTTCTAGTAAGCTTAGTGGGATTCATTCCTAACATATGACACCTACACTGTTATAAAAACAATATAATCCAGTGTGTACTTATATCCCAGAGGGCTGGAACATACCAACACCAAACAGTATCTTGCCCTACACCATATTTCAGAAACATGAAATACCCAGAGATTGTTGGTGTGATCCACTGAGGTTCGGATCTATAGAAAATGTTTTTAAAATAAACTACAAATCCAGTGATTTGGCCTGCTCCACACAAGGAAGAATGCCTGAGAGAAAAGCCAGCAGCGGTTGATATTTGTGCTAAGATATAAGTTTAGTCTTCTGATCTCATAAATTCTAGGTAGATGCATATTACAGGCAATGAGTAAATGAAGAAAATTTTATCACTGACAAAGCCCTGTAGCTATCATTCATTTGGTCAACTGATTGGCTGATTTTCCCAGAGGACTTATGGATCGTAAGGAAAAATGAAAATCTCCTATAGTCAGTGTTAATTAGCCTAAACAAGAAAAGCCCGTTCTAGTCTGTATACTCCATATGCTGCCATTTTACAATTGATCCTCACTACTACTACTACTACAGGGAAGCCCTGACTGGACGGCAAAAGGGAAATGGAACCAATCATACATTCATCAGTACATCTGGTCATACTTTCCCCACTGGAGCTTGTAAAAGTGATTGTTTAGGGCAGGAACTCCCAGCATTCCTAGATTCTGGAAGATGTAATCCAAAGGCAATAAAGGCTACCTTTCAGTGCTTTCAGCTTACCTTTTGAATGTATTATCATGTTCTTGCAAAACAAGATGCTCCTAGAGGCAAAGAGCAAAACTCCAAGGAGTCTGTAGGCATATCTGGATAAGTAGGGGCACAATTAGGTATGGGGACATTTGTGGATTGGAGCAGGGGGGCATGTCAACCCAAAAAATGTTCTTCAAGGACTACCCTCGTCTGCACAGGCAGATCGAGTGTCTCTACACTATTTACTTGTTTTATTTTATTTAAAGTATTTTTTATCCTGCCTTTCTCCTTAGAAAGGACCTGAGGCAGCTTACATCATTAAAATATATTATGTAAAGCTAACAAAAGTGAGTATGCAATACTGAAAGGGTCAAACAAATATCAACCTAAAAATGGTAAACAAAAGCAACACCAAAACAAATACAAAGCAGTAAAGTACAGCAGTACATGTAACAAATCCCACTCAGGCAACCAGTCACTAAGGAAAAGCTTGCTTGAAGAGAAAGGCCTTTGCCTGCTTGTGGAAGGACAGTGAAGATGGAGCCAACCTGGCCTCCTGTGGGAGGGAGTTCTAAAATCTGTGAGCAGGAGCAGATAAAGCCCTTTCCCGCGTCTCTGCCAAATGCACCTGTGAAGGTGGCAGGATCGAGAGAAAGGCCTCTCCTGGTGGTCTTAACACCTCATAAAGGGAGATATGGTCCTTGAGATAGCTTGGGCCCAAGCTGTTTAGGTTATTTTTATATATAATTACAGTGTGTATGGCAGTCTGATTTCAATTTACTTGCCGTAGCTTCATCTGAAGGGATGTGCAGAACTGTGAAATGTCTAGCACTCTGTCCTGAAGTTCAGGGAAGGGCACAAGAACTCTCTGGCAGAGAATTCTAAGTGCTTTATTAAATTGCAAATCACAGTATTCCATTGGATGGAGCAATGAGAGTTAAAGAAGAATCAAACGGCTAGAATTCTGTAATACAGATAGGATCTATGAATAAGGGATGGTAGCATTAAGTGCACATAAATATCAGAACCCTGAAGAAAGCTCCATGCAAAATTTGGCCACATAAAACCCAAATGACCCAAGTGTAACAAATCTACTGTACATGTCTTTGGTAATGGGTAGTTAGCAAAAACAGTGATCTGGTGTCATTGTGTTTTGTTCCTTCTCTTCCTGAAAGTGACAGTCAATGAAGAAGAACAGAAAATTTGCTAATCTATTCTAACCTTGGGGACGTAGTGGCGCTGCGGGTTAAACCGCAGAAGCCTGTGTGCTGCAAGGTCAAATCCACACGACGGAGTGAGCTCCCATCGCTTGTCCCAGCTCCTGCCAACCTAGCAGTTCGAAAGCATGTAAAAATTCGAGTAGATAAATAGGTACCACCATGGTGGGAAGGTAATGGCATTCCGTGTCTAGTCGCGCTGGCCACGTGACCACAGAAACTGTCTTCGGACAACCGCTGTCTCTATGGCTTCGAAATGGGGATGAGCACCACGCCCTACAGTCAGACATGACTGGACTAAATGTCAAGGGGAACCTTTACCTAATCTAACCTTGAGGGATTTTCTACTCCTCATTAAGGGAGACAAAGAATTATAAAATGGCAGGATCTATCCTTTCCCCTCTAACATGTTTTTGGATCTCATCAGTTTTCAGCAGTGGCACAATATGGCAACTACTGTAACTCATTTTTCTATATCTAATCTCTCAGAGTTTCCAGAATAAGTGGGCAAGTTTGACCCCTGAGGCATTTTCGGAGTACAAATTAATATGGGCTTGTTGATGATGAGAGATTGTGAAAGTTGCCCAAGCATGGATGGCCCTTCCCTTGATCTGACTCCTAAATGATTACAATGATTGACTTATGGTACATGGTTATGACCACATATCATGGATCACATGGTCTCTTTCACATGAGTCCAAGCACTTAATTAGCAGATATCAAGAAGAACCCTGTGAATGGAAGTATGAGTGCACCTACAGCTTTCAAGCTCCAGAGTACAAGTCTGTGAATCTAATGGGAATCGGCTGAAGTCCATGTTGCACATTGCGGTCACTGTGATCCTAGAAATGAAAAAAAATTCAGTTTAAACTATACAAAAATTAGACTGAACCACAGACACAGAGAAAATAAAAATTAAAGGATAGCCATGTTGACATAGAACAAATTCCATGGCACATGCTAATGAGATACCTTCTACTAGGCCAATCAAAAAGGCAGGGCACCAAAAAGTGTGCGAAAGCACAAACAACCATGCAAGCTTTTGAAAAACCACATTGTCTCATCAGGAGAGTTGCTAAAGAGTAAGCAGGATGGGAGAAAAGAACCATGAAGAGAGAGTTGGGTCTTAAATCCTTGTTATCTGCATTTAATGCAGAACCATTACTGCAGATAAAGAGATGGGTGTTCGTAGCCCATAGAATTACTCAGAGCTGGTCAGTTAGAAACATTTGTCTCTCCATCTTATGTCTCTGCTGTTGAATTACAAGCTGTATCCATTTTCTCCGGGCCCACAGGCTTGCTGGCCAGAGGGAAACAGAGAGACACAAGGCATCTGGTATACTGTCCATACTGGAGTCCGTTTTAAAAGACAGATTATGGGGGAAAAAGAGAAGTAAATGCAGCCAAGTTGTGCAGCTTTACATATCTTGTAAAGATCTCTGCAGAGATTTGGCTAATCTCTGCAACTGTAAACTGTTCACTGCATTTACAGTGGACTCAAGATGGTGGGCCAGATGTTTATAAGATCCCAGTTCTGGGTGAATCTATACCACGTGGAATCTACAACCCTTGTCAGCTGATGAGAACACCTCTTTGCCTGCAACAGTGTTTTTGTATGGTTCTCTGTAATGATAATGTGCAGAAAATAAGGACGTAAGAGCCAGCTTTCCTTACATTCCCTTTCCCTTCCTTCCATCCTGTGTCCTTTTTACATCTCACCTGATAAAGAGACTGTTCTCTTGAAAGCTTCCATAGTTACTTGCACTTTTGCATACTCCTGGGACCTTTGTGGTTGGTCTGAAAGATGATACCACCTTCAAGAAAATATAGGAAGACATCATCAGGTATTCATTTTTGGGTGGGCAGCAAGTCTGAATGAGAGGGTGACTCCATGGTCAAATACATGACTTAATGGAAGCTAACATTGGAGACTAGTGAGTTGAGGGGAAAGCATATAAATCAGAAGGCCATGTCTCACAGCATTTCTGGCAGCCACTGAGTAAGCTTGGCTTGCTCCTGGCTTTTTAACTTGAATGATGGATGAGGATGGATGAGTGTACCTGCAAACCAAAATTTTAAGCATTGCATGAAAAATTGGTACTGAAGATTTTTAGAAATACTGTACACAGCTGTTCCCAAGGTTGGAAGCGGGTGGGGAAAGTTTCTTATTGACAATGGGGAGAGGAGGGGGGGTGTCCAGCTAGGAAATGACTCTCCACAAGCTCACCCTTGGAAAGGATGAAAGATATGTGGACCATAGAAAGGGTGTGTGCCCCATCTGAAGGCAACAGTGAGTATGGTATAGCTATAGAGGTAAAACCTAAGAAGGCATTTTTATCAGTCACTATTAACAATATTATATGGGAAGGTAAATATCCAATCTATGCACATCCAGCCTCATCCACCATGTGACTGACCATTTTCCACCATGTGGCAAAATACATCAAAATAACCAAAATGCTACATGGAGGAAGCATATTTCTCCTGAGAAATTATTGCAAGTTCAGTGCTTCAGAGACATGATATCCTTATACTGTTACAGAAGTGCAGCTTCCAGACAAGAACCTTGAACTATACAAAAAGCGCAAGTAACTGGAGAAGGTAGTGGAATGAGTGCTTCCAAATGGGGCTTTTACATGATGCTGCCTCACGGAGAGAGTTCTAAGGATTAGACAAATACATTGTTTTCTCTTTGTCCCATTTTTTCCTGCTACCTCTAGAGAAGTCTGTAACTTGAAAAGTTTGTAAGTGAAGCCGTCTGTAAGTCGAGGGTCCACTGTAACAGAAGTGCAGCTTCCAGACAAGAACCTTGAACTATACAAAAAGCGCAAGTAACTGGAGAAGGTAGTGGAATGAGTGCTTCCAAATTAGGCTTTTACATGATGCTGCTTCACGGAGAGAGTTCTACAAATACATTGCTTTCTCTTTGTCCCATGTTTTCCTGCTACCTCTCCTTCCCTCTCTTTTTAGTAGAGGGAAAACTTGAGTTTAAGGAGAGAAAGCTTGAGTTGCTCCACAATGTCTTTTGATTAGCAGAAGTAAGAGGCATTAGTCTAGAAGCAGTTAATGGCACATTTTTGTCAGTTTCTGGGGCAAAAACATTAACATTGGCATTGTTACCCTGAATTTGTTCAACAAGATTTTAAAAATTTGTTCTGAAAATTGTTAAATGTCAACAACATTACTTTTTGGGTAACAGCTGGTTGCTGGTTCTTTAATTTTTTTGTGGCTATTTATTACTAATTTAAAACAATATTTTACATTTAACTATTTCATGAATTGATAAGTTAACTTAAGCTAATCAATGTTACCAAAGAAAATAACTATAACAATCTAATGCTGATGTGTAGGAATAACACAATCTTTTCCACACTCAGATTTTGTGTGTGTGCAAAAACAATATTCACCATGAAGACACAGCGTTGATAGGAACTGGAACACTGAAAGACAGACACTCACACAATATTCACATTGTGTAGTTATAAATTCACCTCATACTATACAGCACATGGCCGTCCGGGAACACCCGTAACATGATGTTATCAGTGGTTGTGTCGTGAATGAAGGACCTTTTGGAGTGAACAAAAAAAACGTCTGGCACCCAGATCTTCTTTACTAGTCTCCCATCAAATGTCATGCTCTTGTTCGTATGACTGGGAAAGGACAGCCGCTCATCCTTCCAGTAATGCCTCAGATATAGTGTCATCGTAAAGTCCTACACAAGGGAGGTGAAAATATGTGTTACAATTATATTGCCTAAACCAGTGAAAAAATAATTAAAATCCACAGAAACTTATGAAGATTTCTGAAAGCTTGTGTGTCCCAATAGATCCATGAAGCTATCAGAACTAGAAATATGGAATTTTACAAGATTTTACATATTGAAGTTCAAACTTAAATAACTGGGTAGGTTTATCCATAAAATTATCCTGACATACAGTAAACACCTCAATAGGGTATATCCCAAAGTTTGCTCATTTGTCCCACTAAAATCTTGAAATGGTAAGAGCTAGAAACATATACTGTAAATGTGTATGAGTGCTACTGAATGCCCAGCTCACTATCTGGAATGGTTATATCTGAAATTGGCTGCCCCAGAAATTTAAGTGAGCCAGCAGACAATTAGATTTCAGTAGCAGCAAGAGATGGGCATACAGTAAATCTTGGTTCAGAAGTTTGTGCCAGTTTGTATGTGCAGTACCACAGGCGCCGTGTGTTCACTTCCCCTACTGCCACTTCCCCTAATGACCCACTTGCTAGCCAGAGTTCAATTCTCTCCTCCTTCTCTTTGTTCAACCAATCCTCGGCAGGAGCACTGGTGTGCCTGTCCTGCCACTCCTCCTTCTCTTTGTTCAACCAATCCTCAGCAGGAGCACTGGTGTGGCTGTCCTGCCTCCCAGCCAAGGAGGCAGGGCTGGGAAGCCCATGAGTGGGCAATCAGCCAAGGAGGCAGGGCTGGGAAGCCCGTGCTCCTGCCAGAGACTTGGTTGAACAGCCAAAGAGGAGAAGGATAGGGGGATCCAGCTGGGGAGGCGGGGAAAGAGAATGTGCGGCATTATGTATGAACTGGCATGAATCTCCAAATCGAGGTCTGTGCCCATCTCTGGTAGCAGCTAATCATGGGCATTTGGTCAGCTCTTCTGTAAAGCATGTCAGGTCCTTTTCCCCTAGGTATGAACACAATCCCAGAATTGCCTCAGAAGAAGGGAAAAGTAAACCATTTATGAGTGTACCTAGAAAACCCTGGAAAAGGTCATCATAAGTAAGAATTGACTTGGTGGCACATGATTATTATGAGCCAAGTAGTTTGAGAGAAGGGGGTGAGTAAGGCTGTGACTACACAGTGAGGGAAATGTGAATTAACTCGCCTCTCTCACTGCAAAGTCGCACTGGGGCATTCAGTTCTTTCAGATATACTGTAAACGGCCACAGAAACAAAGGAGGAAAAAGCTTTCTACTTGAGGCTCCACTTGAAGCACCTATAGGTGGTGCAGTTCAAAAGAACTGCCTTAAGAGGCTTTCCTTCCTCCCAGTCCCTTCCCTATCTTACCTTTCCAGGAAGAATTCATGAAGCTGTTTTAAAAAATAAATGAATGAATAAACAGGACTGTGAGGGTGGATTGTTTTTTAAAAAGAAATGGCAGCTTAGAAGAGCAAAGGCTTTGTGGAGAAAGGTGAGTACTGGTGCTGCTTGTCTGTATGCTCTCCTTGCCCCCTTTTTGCCCTCCCTTTTCCCATCACACACAACGACACACGCATACACACCACTCCCCTCTCTCTTTTACTGCCCCCCCCGCTTGCTCTATTCTCTTGGGTAGTGCTTCTTCCACTCTTCCCCCCCCCTTCTTTACAGATAAAGCCCCCTTCCCATCTGCACAGGAAAAAGCCTTTCAAATCCTTCTGGCAAGAAAAAAAGTAGAAGTCTCTAGGCAGGAGAGGAAAAAGCTAGTCTGCAAGCAAAAAGGGCTGGATAGATTCAATTCAGCCTTTGCATCATATGGGCAGGGAAAATTACTTTGAATTCACCTGTTTTATAAAGGGAGCAAATCCCAAGGTACTTAGTAGTGTCGTTGGGCTTGAAGTAAGATCTCCAAAATAGTAAGGGATAGAAATGGAGAACTTTACACAGAAACTACTTACATTCCAGCTTAAATAACTGGATTACGTGTACCTCACAGCTATCTCCCCCAGAGCCTTAACTGAGATCCTTCATGATGACATCTTAGTAACATCAGTTCTTAGGTATTTGGTAGAGTCTTCTGGTAAGCAAGCCATATAAACTGCAACTGTGAGATTCTTTCCCTCTTACTAATAATTAAACAGTTTATCTGTCTAATATTTCTAAGACCAAAAATATTGTTCATTCAACTGTAATAACTGGACAAATGCAATTGTGAAATTAATATCTCTAAATATCTAAATAGTGTCTGAGTGAGTGCTGGGATGGAGAGAGATAAAAACTATGGAAAAGCATCACAGGCAAACCTAAATATATGTGTTTATCAGAAATAAAATTCATTTCTTGAAAAAATCTAGTTTATGAATATGGGATGTTGTGCTTCTGCACCCATGATTCAAAAAGCCAGGAAATGGCCCAATATTGCTGCATAATATCATGCCCACGTTGCCAGCAGGAAAAAGGGCACCAAACTTCACATAGCAAATGGCTGCCTGAATGTTGCCAACACCAATGGCAGCAGTCAAGATGTTCCACAGGAGACTTCTTGTGCTCACTATCATGCACACTTGTTGAAAAACAGGCTTAACAATTGGTTTGTGTTTGGGTGAGAAGTGGACAGCTGATGAAAAAAAGGAGTCAGCTGGGATTTTCCCTTCAGTAGTGTCATGTTGTAAATCTGATCTGATCAGTTCCTTTATAACTTTTTGTTTGCAGAATCTCAGATCTATCTCTATATATCTATTATATAGATATATCATAGCTCATCTATTATTGCTGCACAGGTACAACAGATATTGTGCAACAGCCCAATTTAGTATTCCATATGCCAACTCAAAAAATAGGGTGAGCTGGTGCTGAGGGGTTAGCACCACTGGCTGCTGATCCATTTCCAAGCACAATTCAAAGTGCTGGTTCTAGACTATAAAACCCTAAACAGTTTGGCTCCAAGCTATCTCAAGGAGTGTCTCTCTGTTTATGTGCCTGCTCAGGTGCTAGGATTCTTTCTGTCGGCCCCACGGCCTTCACAGGTGTGTTTGGTGTGGACACAGGAGAAGGCATTCCCTCTTCCTGCTCTAAACTTTGGAATTCACTCTGACAGGAAGCCAGGCTGGTCCCTTCTTTGCTGTCCTTCCACAAGCAGGTGAACACCTTTCTCTTCAGGCAAGCTTTACCCTTTACCCTGCGTGAGCTGGGTTTTAAGTGGATAGTTGTGCCTTATTGCATTGAATATGTTTTTGGTGTCGCTTTGTTTACCATCTTTTAGTGCGGTATTTGTTTGAGCCTTTAAAATATTTATGTACTTACTGTTTTTAGCTTTAAATATTGTATTTTAATTATATAAGCCACCTTGGCCCTTTCGCGGATTGCTGCCTTGTCGTGGCAAAGGGGCTTGAGTTATTCAGAGAAGTTATGGGCTATGCCGTGCAGGGACACCCAAGACGGGCAGGTCATAGTGGAGAGTTCCGACTAAACGCGATCCACCTGGAGCAGGAACTGGCGAGCCATTCCAGTATCTTTGCCAAGAAAACTCCATGGACAGAAACAAAAGGCTAAAAGACATGATGCTGGAAGATGAGCCTCTCAGGTCAGAAAGCATCCACCATGCTACTGAGGAAGAGCGGAGGACAAGGACAAGTGCCAAAGCCAAAAGAATGCTCAGCTGCAGATGTGCCTGGAAGTGAAAGGAAAGTCCGATGCTGCAAAGAAAAATACTGCATAGGAACCTGGAATATAAGATCTATGAACCTTGTCGTCAAACAGGAGATGGAAAGAATTAATATTGACATCCTGGGCGTCAGTGAACTAAAATGGATGGGAAAGGGCGAATTCAATTCAGGCAGTTATCATATCTACTACTGTGGGCAAGAAGCCCGTAAAAGAAATGGAGTAGCCCTCATAGTCAACAAAAGAGTGGGAAAAGCTTATTGGGATACAATCTCAAAAATGACAGAATGATTTCAATACAAATCCAAGGCAGACCTTTCAACATCACAGTAATCCAAGTTTATGCACCAACCACCGATGCTGAAGAGACTGAAACTGACGAATTCTATGAAGACGTACAACACCTTCTAGAACTCACACCTAAGGAAGATGTTCTTCTCGTTCTAGGGCATTGGAATGCTAAAGTAGGGAGTCAAGAGATAAAAGGAACAACAGGTAAATTTGGCCTCGGAGTTCAAAACGAAGCAGGGCAAAGGCTAATAGAGTTTTGTCAAGAGAACAAGCTGGTCATCACAAACACTGTTTTACAACAACATAAGAGGCGACTCTACACATGGACATCACCAGATGGGCAATACTGAATACACAGTGGAAGTGAAGAACAGATTTAAGGAACTAGATTTGGTGGACAGAGTGCATGAAGAACTAAGGATGTAGGCTTGTAACATTGTACAGGAGGCAGCAACAAAAAACATCCCAAAAAAAACGGAAATGCAGGAAAGCAAAGTGGCTCTCCAACGAAGCCTAACAAATAGCAGAGAAGAAAAGGGAAACAGAATGCAAGAGAGATAGGGATAGTTAAAAAAAATTAAATGGAGACGGTCAAAGAATAGCAAGGAGAGACAAGAGGGCATTCTTAAATGAACAGTGCAAAGAAATAGAGGGAAATAATAGAAAGTGAAAAACCAGAGATCTGTTCAAGAAAACTGGAGCTATTAAAGGAATTTTGTGCAAAGATGGACATGATAAAGGACAAAAATGGTATGGACCTTACAGAAGCAGAAATCAAGAAGAGGTGACAAGAATACACAGAGGAATTATACCAGAAAGATTTGGATGCCCTGGACAACCCAGATAGCATGGTTGCTGACCTTGATCCAGACATCCTGGAGAGTGAAGTTGTGGGCCTTAGAAAGCATGGCTAACAACAAGGCCAGTGGAGGTGATGGCATTCCGGTGGAACTACAGTGGTGCCCCGCTTAACGTTTACCCCGCTCCATGTTACAGTGGTGCCCCGCTTAACGTTTACCCCACTTCATGACGAATCCGCTTCATGACGATGTTTTTGCAATCACTTTTGCGATTGCAAAACAATGTTAAAATAGGGAAAAAAAAAGCTTGACGATGATCAGTTCCCTCAATCACTTTTGCGATCGCAAAACAATGTTAAAATAGGAAAAAAACGCTTGACGATGATCAGTTCCCTGATTTTTTGCTTTACGATGATCTAAAAAAGCTGATTGTCGGGTTTCAACATGGCCGTCCGCTGTGCAAAATGGCCCCCCACTGTTTTAAGGACTGATTTTTCGCTTTACGGGCACTGGAAAATGGCTAGCCTATGGAGGATCTTCGCTGGATGATGAGGTATTTCGCCCATTGGAACGCATTAACGCATTTGCTGGAACGGATTATCTTCGTCAAGCAGGGCACCACTGCATTTAAAATCTTAAAAGATGATACTGTTTGGGTGCTAAACCCAATATGCCGGCAAGTTTGGAAAACTCAGCAGTGGCCAGAGGACTGGAAAAGATAAGTCTGCATCCCAATCCCAAAGAAGGGCATTGTCAAAGAATGCTCCAACTACCATGCAATTCCACTCATTTCACACACTAGCAAGATTGTGCTCAAAATCCTCCAAGGTAGGCTTCAGCAGTATGTGGACCAAGAACTCCCAGAAGTACAAGCTGGATTT